TTTAGTCCCAGTATGGCACCATTTCCCAGGGATCAGCCAACTTTCCTGGTGGCAGGTTGATTACATTGGACTGCTTCCATTATGGAAGGGGCAGCATTTTGTTCTTATTGGAAGAGACACTGACTCTAGATATGGATTTGCCTTCCCTGCGTGCAGTGCTTCTGCCAAAACTGACATCCAGGGACTTATGGAATGCCTTATTTGCCGTCGTGGTATTCCACACAGCATTGTTTTTGATCAAGAAACTCACTTCACAGCAAATAAGTGTGGCAATGGGCCCAAGCCCATGGAACTTACTGGTCTTACTATGTTCCCCACCATCCTGAAGCAGCAGTCTTGATAGCGTGGTGGAATGGCCTTTTGAAAGACTCGGTTACAGTGACAGCTAAGTGGCAATACCTTGCAGAGCTGGGGCAGGGTTCTCCGGAAGGCTGTATGTGCTCTGAGTCAGCATCCAATATATGGTACTGTTTTTCCCCTAAGCAGGATTCACAGTTCCAGGAATCAACAGGTGGAAATGGAAGGGGCAGCACTCATTATTACCACTAGTGACCCATTAGTGACCCCTAGCAACATTTTGCTTCATGTTCCTGCTCTGCTGGCCTAGAGGTCTTAATTCCAAAGGGAGAAATGGTTTCACCAGGAGACTCAACAACGATTCCACTGAATTGGAAGTTAATACTGCTGCCCAGCCACTTTGAGTTCCTCATGCCTGTGAGTCAACAGGCAAAGAAGAAGTTACTGTGCTCTCTGGGGTGATTGGTCCTGACTGCCAAGGGGAAATTGGACTGCCAAACCACAATAGAGCTAAGGAAAAGTATGTCTAGAATATAGGCAAACTCTTAGGGTGATTAAGGTTAGTGGAAAATCACGAACCAATCCATGTAGGACTACTAACAGCTCAGACCCTTTGGGAATGAAACTTTGGGTCACCCTACCAGGTAAAAAACCACAACCAGCTGAGGTACTTACTAAAGGCAAAGGGAATATGGAATGGGTATTGGAAGACGGCAGTTATAAATACCAGGAATGACCATATGACCAGTTGCAGAAATGAGGACTGTAATTGCATGAGTATTTCCTCCTTATTTTGTTTTGAATATTTGTGTGTGTGTGTCTCAGGTATCTTTGTTTTCTTCCCTTTCTGATCTCATTATATAACATAAGATGTATTGCCTTTATATCATAATATTTAAGTATTGTTAACTTTACATCATAGTATTTAAGTTATGGGATATCAAAGGAGAAGACTAAATATCACTCAAGGATTTTGATCCCTTTCTGGGGAAAAGGTTAGTGTTATTTTTGGTTGTACAGGATAGTTGTATCATGTTAGGTGGAATTGTGACCTTGTTATTGTTTTCTTTTAGGGATGAAGATTTAAGGAGATGTGTATGAGTGCTAAGTTGACAAGGGGTGGATTTGTGATGGTTAATTTTATGTGTCAACTTGACTGAGCCATGGGCTGCCCGGATATTTGATCAAACATTATTCTGGGTGTTTCTGTGAAGGTATTTTTGAATGGGATTAACATTTAAATTGGTAGGCTGAGCAAAGCAGATTGCCCTCACTAATGTGGATGGGCCTCATCAAATCAGTTGAAGGCCTGAATAGAACAAAAAGCTGACCTCCTGTGAGTAAGAGACAGAATTTTTCCTGACAGCTTTTGAACTGGGATGTTGGCTTTTTTCCTGCCTTCTGAGTCGAATTGAAATATTGGCTCTTAATGGATCTTGAGCCTGCTGGCCTTTGGACTGGAAATGACACCAGTGGCTCTCCTGGGTCTCCAGTTTGCTGACCCACCCTGCAGATCTGGGACTTATCAGTCTCCATGACTGCATGAACCAATTCCTCATAATAAATCTCTTTGTATGTAAATATATACATCCTATTGGTTCTCTCTGGAGAGCCCTGACTAATACACATTTGGTTAGTCCTGACTGATAACAGATTCAACTACTGCTAGGTTAAATAGTTTGAAACTGCTTCAGAAAGATTAATCTGACATCACTGTATAAAACAAATGGAAATGTAGAGAGGCTGGGGAAAGGAAGACCAGTTTGGCTCTTATAGCCACCTAGGCAACAGGTTCCTCTGGGCTAGAAATATAAGTTAAGGAAATATCAGAATACGTATCATATTTATAGCCTTGGTAATGGATAAAAGCACTTTGCAAGAGATTGTAGAATGCATGAACTCTGAGGAACTTCATCATTTAAATAGTTACAAGAGAAGGCACCTAAGGCAGATTGAGAAGGAGTAGCTGCTGAGTTGAGAGGGAAAATCAGAAGTCCAGAGTGTTTAGAACAGAAGACAATTGTCAGTTGTGTCTGTGGCTGTTGAACAGCCATTTCGGATGAAGACGGCATTGTTCATTAGTTTTGGCTTACAGAGATTGTGATTTTACATGTAGTTTCAGTGGCTTCAAAAGATTAGATGCCAGATTGGAATGGATTAAACAGTGAATGGAAGGAGAGAAAAGAGAGACAGAGCATGAAGACACCCCTTTTGAGAAGTTTTGCTAGAAAAAGGGAGCACAGAAATGGGATTATGGCTGGAGGAGGGTGAAGGGTTCAGGGAGGGTGGGATTGACCTTTGATAGGAAGAGAGATACTTTCTCCACTGTGAAAAGAGGGAAGGGCAAAGTAAGTGTAGATGCTTACCAGATTATACATTTGAAAGTGGGAAAATGAGTGAATTTTCATCTAATGACTTTTATTTCGCAGTAGAGTATGAGGGAGAGTTATCAGCTGAGACCTAGAGAGGCAGAAGGGGCGTTGGAGAGAAAGAAGGTATAAAAATGGCCTTCGTGAAGAAGGGATGGCCCCTGGAGGTAAATTCGTGAGCAGGGTAGGAACAAAGCTTGCTGAGCAGCCCCGGGGTTCTTGCTAAGGTTGGAAGCCATCGTTGGTGTTGGCATCTGCTGTGGTTTTGTGGTTTCTCTTTTTTTATTTCTGCCGCTCTAGAGGAGGAGTAGGGATATAGATGGTTAGAATCTTCCAAGTGTGTAAGACTCTCAATTAAGTGTAATTTCTAAGTGACAATAGTTGCAGTAAGACCCTTTCAGCCTTAAGAAGAATACACTGAACATAATTTAACTTTTTCTTGATATCTAAGATTTTTATTATACTAGCTATGATGCTCTGAGTGTTAAAGTGACTGCTCTAGGTTCAATTTGACAAGTTTTTACTGAGTGCACATCACAATGCCAGACTCTGCTGATATTGCACTGATAGTTAAAATCCCTGTCCTCAGTAGCACCTGCTTGTGGTGATCATGTCAGTGCTGTGAAGGCAGTGTGTACCTTCTGCCAGGGGAAGACAGAACAGGTACCCTCTACAGAACAGATTGGTGGACAGTGGTGGGATGTCAAGGGAGGTTACCAAAAGAGGTGACCAATTAGTCACTTGGCTTGGAACTTAGAAGATCCATTGTCATACAAAACAACTTTGAAAATAGTGGTTAGAGTTCCAGGTCAGACCATAAAAACCAATGAAAATTCATTCAGAGAGAGTGAAAAAAAGAGTATTCTTTAAAAACTAGAAGTTGAGAATTTTTAAGCCTTATATTCACTTTGAAACTTGTGTTGAACAAATACTATTTCATTTGATAAGGTAGATTTAAGATTTTGTGGACATTTTTTTTGAGTGAATGTATGAATCCTTTTAAGGGCTATAGTATGTGAAGATAATGACTCTATTGTATTTAACTCATGTTCAAAACTTATGATTTTTCCTTTTCTTTGATATCATATAAGCAACTTTTTTTTTTAAACACAGCATTGACTATGACTACAAGTAGAATAAAGAAAAGGAAAGATAGATGGGGGTAACTAGATAAACATTGGAAAAGAGTGAGCTAGGGGCTGGGAGGGAGGGCAGATAACATTTATTTAGTAGCTATTATAAGTCAGGTACCGGATTAGGTACTTCCATGCATAGTGAATGCATTTAGTCTTAACAAAATCCCCTGAGATGTAGATATCATTGATATCCATTTTACAGATAAGAAAAATCATGACTAAAATAAATAATGGGCCCTGAGTCAAATTGTTAGTGGTAAAAGTCAGAATTTAATCCTAAATGGTTAGTGGTAAAAGTTAGAATTTAATCCTAAATCATTGACTTCATTGCCTGTGTCAATGGCACCAAAATGGCTAAGGTGAAATATGTGTATTGTAAAATAAAATAAAAGTTTTGTTTATATGAGATTTTTCTGAGCAGAAAAGAAAGGCAATGTTGAGAATAAAGTAGAATTCCCTGTATTGGCCAAAGCCTGGAACATTTGTCAGGATGATATTAGACAGTGATGTATGTCCACTGTTCATAAATCAGATTCATATTTCCCAGGAGGTAATACTGGTGGAGGTGGGGTGCTAGAGAGGATTATCTATGCACTACATTGCAAGTTCACAGTTTGTAAAAGTCTTTCATTTATTTGCACCACATGAGAGATACTTGTTTCTAATAATTGAGTAGAACTCAGTGAGCAGTGTGTATATGGATATGAATATATTTTTTGTTTAAACTTAAGTTAGCTGCTACCAATAACTGAGTTTTTAGTCTCTCAGATCTTTGGTATGTCTATGAAATCCCTAATTAGATAAACATTGGCATAAGAGTTCTGAAAGGATATGTTCTTTGATAACTCTGTCTGTTCTCAAAAATGTCTTTTGGAAATGTGGAAAATCAACCTGGTTAGTATTTTATATAAATGGAGAATATAGATTTTTAGCATACAGTATAAATCTAAGGAAACATAAAAAGAGTTTGTACTTGTGTTATATACTGGTTTGAAGAATCACAGAAAAATTTTCATAGGAGATTTTTTTTTTTAATGCATAGATGAAACTTTTAAATATCTCTTCAAATCTAACTTGTCACGTTTCTGAAATGGAATAGAATAGACCTAGCTTAAATATCATACTAAATATTTTATGCCTTGCAGTTCTGTAAAACTGTTTAGTCATATCCATTGACCACTTTCTTTAATGTTTCTAGGTTATTGAGTCTTTGGGAATTATTATCTATAAAGCACTGGACTATGGTTTGAAGGAGAATGAAGAAAGGGAATTAAGCCCTCCCTTGGAACAGCTCATCGATCGCATGGCCAACACGGTAGAAGCTGATGGTAGCAATGATGAGGGCTATGAGGCTGTGGATGAAGGCCTAGAAGATGAAGAAGATGAAAAGAGAAAAGTCTCAGCTATCCGATCATATAGAGATGTCATGAAGGTAAGGCAGCAGTTTATATAGTACTTATTTCTTTCAAGAGTTATTTCACTTAAAAAAACTGAATGGTGATTCAGTATTTCACAGTAGTTCTTAGACTTTCAGTTATAAGTGAAATGAATAAGGAAGTAAAATACTCTTGATTCTGTGACTTGTTCATAGCCTCAACGTGGTCTTTTATGGTTGAGTCATAACTCTCAAAAAACTACTTTTAGATATTGTATGCCCCTTATCATGACATATTGTACACCAACTTGCCTGGGTATTATGTCTCCAGTTGACTCCTGTTTTCTTGACCTATTCAGTGGTATTTATATGTAAAGAAACAAATTCTGTAGCTTGAATTGAATTTTTCTCCTTAGTTAATTTTTCCTGTGTACTTGAAGGCCATAATTTCTACAATACTGAATGCACAGAGGTTAACATTAAGGCAGATTTGTCAAATTAGTCTTAAAAGAGCATTCTGTTTAGAGTTATTTGTATATGATGTTTACTAGATTTTGTAAGCAGTATTGGCTATATATCACTTATTTTCCAACTTATCATAAAGCATTTCAGAGACGGGAGTAGAGAGGAACTGTGAAAGCAGTGCTTTTCAGGTATATTGCAGCACGCCCTGCTTCCCGCTCCTTCTCAGATAATAAATCTCTCAGGAACTCTGGAATGAGACTGTACAGTTATGATTCTTATGAAATTCAGATATATGCTTTAGTTCTTTTAGTGCTTGTAGTACTTCTCATTTTAAATCAACAGCATATACAACTAAAATCCCTCATGTATGTACAAATTGAAATTTCACATTTTATTATATTTTCTGATGTTAAGGTATATTTTTAAAAATATACGTACATACTTAAAGGCCAAATAAAACTTTCTGCATACCACAAATGACCTACTTGTTCCATTATAGACCAGTGATAAATAGTGATAAAAACTGAAGAGTAAAAGGTTTTCCGTTAAGAAACAAAACTACTCTGCCTCTAAAACTGAGCTAACTTTTTTGGTAGTGAGTGTGTGTGTCGGGGGTGAACAAGGAGTGGTGAAGGAGGAAGGGAACCACCCAACCAACTGTATCAATTAAATTAACTCTGGCAACAATAGAATGATAGATGTCATAGCCAGACTGCTCTCTTATACTATAGATTTGGAAGATGAGGGCTAGAGATGCATTGGAATCTTACACTTCTTATTTCAGTGATGTTAAATATGTTAACTTATAAAAAATTCTTGGACATTCAGTAATTTGAACTGATAACTTTTATTTTGTTTATTATTTTTTAATTTGAGCTACTGTGTCTACCCTCCTACCTATCTTATTGCTATCATAATATGAAAAATAAAGAGTTAAAAGGTGTTTAGAAAGGCAGGTTTTATAGATTAGAGGAAAACTGTAAGTTTACCAATTCCATTCTTAGGAATTTTGTTGGAGAATATCATATCCTCACCTCTTGTTTCCATGCTAATCAAAACCGATCAATTAAAAATTTCCACATCTATAACAATACGTTCTGAATGTTTCTTTTAGCTAAATGAGAAGAAAAATTATTGCTGAAACATTTGACAAGTAAACTGAAATTTTAAAATATCAAAAAACCCATCGCTCATGGCCATATAATGTGACACATATGAGTTTGTGGTTTGGTTAGTGGGTTGAAATCTTCAGTTAGTAAATTGACTCCTTATTTACTTTCTTGGAAGAGAAGACAAGAATTAACTGAAGAAATATAACTACTTTCTTCTTGTTGGAAGTGGAAATGTAAAACTAAGTTTGAATAATATAAATAATAGAATATTTAGGAACTTGGAGACAATTTGTTTTCAGTTCTTAGAAAGACATCATTAGTGTGTAACTTTTTCCCTGAATAGTCATTTATTCCTACTAATCTTTTAATTTGGTATGTTTTAATATTGTGTGTTATAGATGAAAAGTGCTTTCACACTCATTGTTATCTGACCCTTCTCATGATACCGTGAGGTATATTGGAGAGGCATTTTTATACTCATTTTACAAATGAAAGAACTAAGACTCAGAGAGTTATGTAACTTATCCAGCTTCACGAAAGTGAATAAGTGAGAGGAAGAGTAGATGGTGGTTAGATTCAGAGGCTTATGATCATGTAGGACTTAGATTGAAACCCCGATTTTGCCATTTTTGTACCAACTGTGTTACCCTGGATTATGTAATCCTGTGATCCTTATTCTTATGTAAAGTGAGAATAATAATACTTACCTGATTTTTGGGGGCAGATTAAATTAGATACCATAATTAGTATAAAGTATCTAGTGTAGTCTTGTCATAAATAAAAATTTAATAGCATTTACTATATGCCAGGCATTTTTCTGCTGGTAGTAGACAACATGCAAATGGTCCCTATCTTTTTTTTTTTTTGTGAGGAGATCAGCCTTGTGCTAACATCCGCCAATCCTTCTCTTTTTTGGCTGAGGAAGACTGGCCCTGGGCTAACATCTGTGCCCATCTTACTCCACTTTATATGGGACACCGCCACAGCATGGCTTGCCAAGCAGTGCGTGCCTGGGATCCGAACCAGCAAACCATGGGCCCCCTCAGCGGGTGCGAGCACTTAACTGCTTGCGCCACCAGGCCAGCCCCGAAATGGTCCCTATCTTTATAGCTCTTAGTTGTAATGGAGAAAAACAGAATATAAACAAGGAATGCATAAACACACACACATAATTTTTTCGAAGCATTCCAGGGCTTTTTGCCACTGCATATAGATCAGAATAAATTGCAGGCACAAATTTATATCAGAGATAGAACATGTTCTTCCCTTAAATTAAGAATATAACACTAAAATATCTTCTTTTCAGTTTAAGTATTTCTTGAGAAATATATATAACTGGAGGCTTTCAAGAAGTATTAAGATCATACTTAAAAATTATTTTTGTATCTACAATTATATCCTGGAAAAGATTCATTCAATTAACATTAGTCAAAAAGAAAAGAGATTGTAGACATGAAGTAAACTGTGGTGATGAAGAGTAAAGTATGTAGGAAAGGAATATTGAAGAGACAAGGTTAAGGATGATGGAACAGTAAGACGTGAGACAGTGAATAGAAAGGAAGAGTAAAAGAAGTGGTGTAAGATCTAGAAAGTCTTTGAGAAATGACTAAAATTAATATGAGAATAGTTCATGAACGAAGTTCTTCGTTTGAGACTAATGTAAAAGTCTTAGCTTATTCATGCATTCATTTACATTTCAAATATTCAGTAAGCAGTTAGTCTGACTTCTTTGTGCTGAGTGTTCTATCAGGCACTTAGGTTGCTGAGATGAACTTAACTGGGGTTAAATGAACCCCAGTGAGATACATATTATAGACCTGGTATGTACGACCATACTAGCCCATACACTACCTTTGTGCAAATTAGCAATAAGCTTTCTTTCTTTAAGATACTTTACTTCCATCTGTAAGAAAATTGTTGTAATAAATATAAATTTGCAATGTCTGTGATGTGGAGGATGTTCTTCTAGGTGTAATACCCTCATAAACAGTCTGAACGTATGGAAATGGTGGTCTAACACATGTACATGGGATGCTTGGAGACAACAGAGAGGGGCACTGAACTCAGCCTGGTGGATTCTGGTTCGCTTATACAATCCAATCCCCCTAATAATTGGGGAATGTAAATAAAGAAATATAATTTGCAGCTCTTTTGCAAGCAAGAATTTACTTTTGTTGAAATTTGAAATTACGGTAAATTTTTTCACTCAGTAGTTGATAGCTACAGTGTAAATTTACACAGTTCTTATATAAAATAATTTGACAGTATATTAAAAAGTCTAAAATGGTTCACTATTTATAATAACAAAAGGCTAGAAATATCCCAGATGCCCATTAATAGGGAAATGGTTGAATTAACTATGGTACAGCGAATCAGTGGAGTACTATATAGCTATCAAAAGGATTAAGGATAGATCTCTAGGATATACTGTTTACTTGAAAAAACAAGATAATAGAAAAGTGTATGTAGTATGCTAGCATTTATCTAAGAAATGGTATGGATAAGAATATATATAAAAATATTTGCTTATATTTAAAAAAAAAAAGGAACAATAAACTAAAGGAAAAAAGTTAGCTATAGGTAGAGAAAAAGGAACAGAATGGAAACTAGCACAGGCCTTAAAGCTAATCATCTCTGAATATACTTGATTCTGTAGATTTGATTTAGAAAGAATATAAATATTTTACATAATTATAAAACAAAATTGAATATAGAAATATAATCTCCTTCCAAATCCAAAGCAAATTGAACATAACTGTTATCACATTGGAGACATAACCACATAGAAACACCTAGAAAGCAATTACCACATAGTAGCAATGAACACAGCTACCACTAGATTATGCTCTCTGAATACCACTCCCCACTAGAAGAATTCCAGGATTCCTTAGAGAAACGGCTAATTCCAGATCTGGGAAGGAAATGTATAAAATAGCATGGAACATCTTGTCATACCAGAAAGCAGAGTATCCAAGATTACTAAATTGTATAAAAAGGACTCAGAAGCCAACTCAAAGAGGCTACCACTGGTCAAAGATGGAAGAATTTGATCATCAATAAGAATAATAGCTGTGCAGGCCAGCCTCGGTGGCCTAGTGGTTAAGTTTGGCATGCTCTGCTTTGGCGGCCAGGGTTCAGTTCCCGGGCACAGACCTACACCACTCATCTCTCAGTGGCCATGCTCTGGTGGCAGCTGACATACAAAATAGAGGAAGATTGGCAACAGATGTTAGCTCAGGGCAAATCTTTCTCAGCAAAAATAAATAAATAAATAATAGCTGTGATGGATTGCACGTCAAATATTCTGAATTCCATGAACATATAAATGATAATTAATAAAACCCTCAGCAACAAACAATCACATAGAGACAGATTGGATTGGTGGTTACCAGAGGGGACGGGGGAAGGGAGCAGGGAGGAGGACAAAAGTGGTGATTAGGCACATGCATGTGGTGATGGATTGTAATTAGTTTTTGGGTG